CCCCTGGGAAGGGGAGCAAAATCGCCATTTGCAGACAAGCATGGGAATGCAGAGACCGGGCTAATACAGCTCCAGGTTCAGCAGTCTTACCCCTCTTGGCTCCCTTAGACCTTTGTTCACGGGATGGTTCATTTTACGTGTCAACTTGACTGGGTCAGGAGATGCTCAGAGATCTGATTGGATGTTATTTCTGGGTATGTTGGTGAAGGCATTTCTGGAAGAGATGAACATTTGGATTGGTGGATTGAATAAAACAGGTGGGCCTTTCCAGTGTGAGAGGGCATCCTCTAATCTGTGGAGGGTCCAAATAGAATAAAACAGCAAAGGAGGTTGGACTCACACTCCCTTTGCCTGATAATCTTCTCCTTGCTCTTACTGCTCCTGGTTCTCAGGCCTTCAGGCCCAGATTGGACTCTACACCATTAGCTTTCAGCTCTCAGGCCTTCAAACTATTGGCTGAGTCAACATTGGTTTTCCTGGTTTTCTCACCTTGCACATGGCATATTGTGAGACTTTTCAGCCTCCATAATTTTGTAAGCCAGTACCATATATATATATGTGTGTGTGTGTGTGTATGTGTGTATGTGTATATATATATATATATATTTTTTAAGATAGAGTCTCGCTCTGTTGCCCAGGCTGGAGTACAGTGGCACACTCTTGGGTCACTGCAACCTTCACCTCCCCGGTTCAAGTGATTCTCCTGCCTCAGCCTTCTGAGCAGCTGGGATTACAGGCACACGCCACCACGCCCCGCTAATTTTTGTATTTTTAGTGGAGACGGGGTTTTGCCATGTTGGCCAGGCTGGTCTGAAACTCCTGACCTCAAGTGATCCACCTGCTTTGGCCTCCCAAACTGCTGGGATTACAGGCATGAGCCACTGCACCCAGCCCTTATAATATATATCTACGCATCTACCTACTTATCTATCTATCTATCTATCTATCTATCTATCTATCTATCTATCTATTCATTACCTATTTATCATCTATCTATCTGTCTATATCTTATTGGTTCCGTTTCTATGAAGATCCCTGACTAATACAATCCATATCTTGGTCACAGCCCTGGTATTTCTCTGTGTATCACTGCACCAGGTAACATGCGAATGCCTCAAAGGCTGGGAACAGAAACAAAGGCCTCTCTACACCCCCAAAACTAGCACAGTTCTGAAGACAAAGTCCACAAATAATTATTAAACTAATCTTAGCCCAGATACGGTGGCTCATGCCTGTCTTTTATTGGCTGGGCGTGGTGGCTCATGCCTGTAATCCCAGCACTTTTGGAGGCCAAGGCAGGCAGATTGCTTGAGCTGGGGATTTCAAGACCAACCCTGGCAACATGGTGAAACCATGTCTCTACAAAACATTCTAAAAATTAGCCAGCGATGGTGGCACATGGCTGTGGTCCTAGATACTCAGGAGGCTGAGGTGGGAGAATTACTTGAGCTCAGGAGGTTGAGGTTGCAGTGAGCCACGATCACACCACTGCACTCCAGCCTGGGCAAAAGAGCAAGAACCTGTCTCCAAAAAAACAAAACAAAACAAAACGAAAACAAATGACAACAAAAAACCCACCAAGCCTGTCCTTTATTAATGGGCGTATCTAATGATTTTCTGATATTGAAGCAGAAAGCTTTAGGCAGTGAGAGAGAAGCCATGTGGACATCTTGTGGGGAGAAGGGAATTCGTGGTAGTGGGCACAGCACGTGCAAAGGTCCTGAGGTAGGAGTATATTTGGTGTGTTTGAGGGACAGTGGGGAGGCTAGAGCAGAGTGACTGAGGGAAGGAGAAAAGGGAGGTGAGGTCAGAGAAGAAGCAGCAGGGCCCAGGTGTGTACAGCTTTGTTGGCACTGTAAAATTCGGATTTCCCTGTGAGTGAGACAGGGAGCCATTGGAAGGTTCTTAGTAGAGGAGATATATTACAATGTGCACCTCCTAGGCTCAAGCAATTCTCCTGCCTCAGCCTCCTGAGTAACTGGGATTACAGGTGCACACCACCACGCCTGGCTAATTTTTGTATTTTTATTAGAGACGGGGTTTCACCATGTTGGCCAGGCTGGTCTCGAACTCCTGACCTCAAGTGATCCACCTGCCTCGCCTCCCAAAGTGCTTTTTCAATCATACATGTCACTGCTCTAAACATCCTTTTGTTTATACCGACGTGGAATGTCTATAAGATATCAATCGAATTGGTGGAAATTAGGAGGCAGGATTTCAACCCAGGTCCTTCTCACTCAAACACGACTCCCCACACACACTTTTCCACTGCCCTGGGGGTCAAGGAGGTTTCTTTTTCACAGCAAATACGTAAGTCAGCATTCTGGATTGTTCAGTGTTGTAGGATTAAATTAGTCCACTTTAGTAATATTTGTTAAGAATTGACATATCGTCCAAGTATCGTGCTGATGCTGGACGTGATAATGTACGAGATGATCAAACCTCATGATCACTTGCAACTGGCAGCTTAAAGGATCAGAATAAGTTAGCATAAGACATCCAGTGCCTAACTCATAGTGAGTATCCAGCCTCTTTCCAGGGTCTCTATCCATTTGGATACTGGTAGGATCAGAGGCCAATGGGGTCTTTTATGAAGAAAGAAAAAAAAGAAAAGAAAAGGGGAGGGAAGGGGAGGGGAGGGGAGAGGAGGGGAGGAGAGAGGAGGCCTGACTTATGTTCCTGCCCAGGTGGCTCTTTTGTCAGGAGAGGGGAGCATCTTGGCTCAATGCATAGAAGTTACTCAAGAATTTCTACAAGACTAAAACTTGTTTTAAAATCATGAAGCGCTGTTGAATTTGTAGAAATATTCCATCTGTGTTCCAAGGATGCACGCTTCAGGGCATAGAAGGTTGCCACTGTCTTCTGTGCCATAAAAGAGGCTAAGGATGCTGAGATGTTTCATTTGAAGAAGCACCCGTCCTCCGGAAATTAGGATCCGACTGTAAAAAGGCAGTGCTTGAAGTGTTGAATGGAGAAGACTCGGAATCCGAAAAAAAGACTGACATCGAAGCTTGGCTCTTCCAAGTTGGGTGGTCTCTGATGAGCCATGCATCTTTTGTGCCTCAGTTTCCCCTCTATCAAACAGAGGGACTGTGATTGCATCTGCTCTCACTCCCACCTTGTGAGGCACTAATGCCTGGTGGGTAACAAGAAACATGAACTGTAGCACATATTCTGCAAAGGGAGCTTCTCTGAGTTTCCAAGTTTTGACTGAAATCATTTCCCACATCCTCACTCTTCATGCTAATGTGGGATGTTGTGACTACTTAAATGATAGAGAATTCATACTTTGAAAAAAATGATGCATAGCTCAAACCCAGGAAGACCTATTGTCAATACATATATAAATACTCTACAGTAGTGTCAATCTTAAATCCCTGCCTATTGGGAAGTGGGTGAGCGTGATGCCTGAGAGACCATGAGATAAACTTTCTTTTTTTTTTTTTCTTTTGAGACAGAGTCTCTCTCTGTCACCCAGGCTGGAGTGCAGTGGTGCAATCTCAGCTCACTGCAACCTCCGCCTCTGGGGTTCAAGCGATTCTCCTGTCTCAGCCTCCTGAGTAGCTGGGATTACAGGTGCCTGCCACCAAGCCAGCTAATTTTTGTATTTTTAGTAGAGACAGGGTTTCAGCAATTTGCTCAGGCTGGTCTCGAACTCCTGACCTCAGGGGATCCGTCCACCTCGGCCTCCCAATGTGTTGGGATTACAGGCATGAGCCACCGTGCCCGGCCATGAGATAAACTCTCATCCTGGGCTCTGCACTCACTGTCCGGATTCAACAGAGAGTTCCTGGCTGGCCCACGAGCCATGTCACCTTCTAACACAGCATTTGGTATCGCACAGTATGATTTTTTTCCTTGATCCAACCATGAAGACATCTCAGTCTCTCTACAGTCATTTAAGGCTCACCCTTCAAATGCTAAGGTTTCCTTGATGTTTCCAGAGAGTCTGTTTATTGCTCTTAGATCTGTGCAAAGCTGAAATTTAGGGTACTTTTCTCCCCTCTGCTATAATCTGCAGTAGGCTTACAAAATCTGAGTTGTAGCTACCTGGTGTTGCGCTCATAGAGGGTGGGGCATGAAATCTTCCATCTCTCTTTGCATTGCTGGTTTGCATTATTGGGGGTATTAGATGACCCTGGCTTCTGGCAAGAGGAGTCTAGATTGAGGTTTGGTGCTGACACAGTATCTTGCAGCAGATAGAAATAATCAAACCTGGTTTTCTCTGTGTTAGTATCTCACACACACTTCCACTTCAAATACATCCCTGAGGCTGATTAACCCTTATGTTTATAACTGTATGTCGTCTACAAGGTACCTTGTAAACCTTAAAGCATGACAAATAAAGGTTACTATATGTTCATGGATTGTCTTTCTTTTGGGGGTGGAGGGAGAGATAGGGTCTCACTCTGTCACCCATGCTAGATTGCAGTGGCACAGTCATAGTTCACTGTAACCTCAAACTTCTGGACTTAGGCAATAATCCCACTTCAGTCTCCCAAGTAGCTGGGACTACAGGCATGTACCACAATGCCAAGCTATTTTTTTTTTTAAGTTTTTGTAGATATACAGTCTTGCTATGTTGTCAAGGCTGGTCTTGAACTCCTGGCATCAAGCAGTCCTCCTGCCTTGGAATCCCAATGTGCTGAAATTATAAGTGTGAGCCACAGTGCTTAGCTGAAATGTAATTTTCTTTTTTTTTTTTTTTTTTTTTTTTTTTTTGAGACAGAGTCTCACACTGTCGCCCAGGCTGGAGTGCAGTGGCGTGATCTCGGCTTACTGCAAACTCCACCTACCAGGTTCAAGCGATTCTTATGCCTCAGCCTCCCAAGTAGCTAGGGTTACAGGCATGTGCCAACATGCCTGGCTAATTTTTGTATTTTTAGTAGAGATGGGGTTTTGCCGTGTTGGCGATGCTGGTCTCGAACTCGTGACCTCAGGTGATCCGCCTCCCTCGCCTCCCAAAGTGCTGGGATAACAGGCGTGAGCCACCACGGAATGTAATTTTTAACAATAGCCTTCGGTAATCCAATTTAGTTGTGCTCAGTGAATTTCTCCTAGATCGTTACATTTTTTTCTGGGTAGAGTTTACTGAAGAAGGTCTTCATGGCGACCTTCAGTTCCTTGTTCCTGAGGCTGAAGATGATGGGGCTGAGGAAGGGCGTGAGGACCGTGTAGGTGATGCCCATCAAGGTGTCACCTTCCAGAGACTGGGGACCTTTGGGATTCAGGTAAATGACAGAGGCAAAGCCATAGTGCACGACCACCACAGTGAGGTGAGAGGCACAGGTGGAGAAGGCCTTGTTCCGGCCTTCAGCAGAAGGGATCTTCAAGATGGCGGCCACGATGAAGACATAGGAGAGGAGGATGAGGAGAAAACAGCCCAGCAGGGCCGTGATACACACCAAGCCCACGCCCAGGGCCACAGCAGGTACATTATTTCCACAGGCCAACTTCAACAGAGGTGGCACATGGCAAGCAAAATGGTGGATCTCACTGGGTCCACAGAAGGTGAGGTGGAAAATGGCCGTGGTCACCACCAGCCCCATGACGGAGCCACCAGCCCAGGAGCAGCCCACCAGGCAGGCGCCGCCCCGCGGGCTCATGAGCACGTTGTAGCGCAGGGGGCGGCAGATGGCCACGTAGCGGTCGTAGCCCATGACGGTGAGCAGGAAGGAGTGGGTGAAGCCGAAGCTGAAGGAGAAGAACATCTGACTGGCACAGGCCAGGAAGGCGATGGAGCGCTGCGCGGACAGCAGGTTGCCCAGCAGCGTGAACAGGTACATCAGCAGGAACAGCAGGAAGAGCATCATCTGGAGGTGGGGGAAGGCGGAGAAGCCCACAAGAATGAATTGAGTCACTGTGGAGTGATTGGCTCTCTGCATGGAGGCTGTGCCTGGGGTGAGATGTGACAGGGAGAGGTCAGTTACTGCATGAAGAAAGGTTCTCAGCCTTCACCATACCTGGATTTGCCCAAGGGCCTACTCTTGATAAATGGTAAAGCTGGCTTTGGTTCTGTTCCCACTCTGTGCCTCCTATAATTTAATACCCTCATCAACCTAGTGAGAACGGTACTATTTTTTCAACCCCCTTTTGAAGTACCTTGAGCATTGTCATTGAGAATACTGACGTGCAGGGCTTGCTGAAGGCAAAGCTGTTGAAAGGGTAGATCCGGAGACTTGAAGCCATAGGTGGGCTGGTTCTAAAAACTATACCCTTCACTATTTCTCTATGTGGCCCCCGCCCTCAAACGAAAATGCTCCAGGCTGGCGTGGTGGCTCACATCTGTAATCCCAGCACTTTGGAGGCTGATGGGGGAGGATGGCTTGAGCCCAGGAGTTCGAGGTTGCAGCAAGCTATGACGACACCCCTGCACTCCAGCCTGGGTGACAGAGCCAGACTCTATCTCTTAAGAAAAGAAGAAAATGGCCGGGCGTGGTGGCTCACACCTATAATCCCAGCACTTTGGGAGGCTGAGGCAGGTGGGTCACGAGGTTAAGAGATGGAGACCAGCCTGGCCAAAATGGTGAAATCCCAACTCTACTAAAAATATAAAAATTAGTCGGGCATGGTGGCGCGTGCCTGTAGTCCCAGCTACTTGGGAGACTGAGACCTGGGAGGCGGAGGTTGCAGTGAGCCAAGATGGCACCACTGGACTCCAGCCTGGCAACAGAGCGAGACTCCGTCTCAAAAAAATAAAAAAATAAAAAGAAGAAAAACATATTCCTTTACTGGAACTTCCATTCATTCCTTCTCTGTCCTCCTACTCCCTTCTAATAAATCCTGTTCATCCCCCAGCTCCAGGTATCGCGAGATGTTCCCACCCATGATTACAACTCCTTGGAACAGAGAGCATCTCTAAATCTGAACCAATCAGACTTCCTCTGGGGTTATCCATGTAGGAAAGCAGAGGCAGGAGACTGTGTTGCTCTAAGAAAAGAGCCAGAAATCATGTTCTGATTGTTTTCCAGCTCCCACGAGGTATGCCTCTATGTTCTGAGGCAGTGAAATGTAGCCATCAGACAGAAAGAGGGGCTTGGGAATCAGCAGACCTCAGTTCAAATCCCTCCTCTGACTGTTGTGTAATGATTTTTTATTTTTTATTTATTTATTTATTTATTTATTTTTGTAGAGATGGAGTCTCATTCTGTTGCCCAGACTGGAGAGCAGTGGTGCAATCATAGTTCACTGCAACCTCAAACTCCTGGATTCAAGCAATCTTCCTACCTCAGTTTCCCAAGTAGCTGAGACTATAGGCACACACCACCTCACACAGCTAATGTTTTATTTTTTATTATAGAGATGGCATCTTGCTATGTCACCCAGGCTGGTCTGGAACTCCACGCCTCAAGTCATCCTCTTGCCTGGGATTCCCAAAGTGCTGGGATTACAGAAGTGAGCCACTGCACCTGGCCAATATTTTATAAAGTTGAGCAGAACCTACCTCAAAGGGTTGTTGTGGGAAGTAAATGAGCTTTTCTTAGATGACCTAGCATGCAGTAGGTGCTATATATGACAATTAATACAGTAAATAGTGACTATGCATGGTCTTTGCTCAGCAAGTAACTTTAATTTCATGAGATTTCCATGTGTCTTTATGAACCACTTAAACATATTTTATTTTATTTTTTTCAAAAGACAGGGTCTGGCTCTGTCACCCAGGCTGGAGTGCAGTGGCACAATTATCACAGCTCACTGCAGCCTTCAGCTCCTGGATTCAAGTGATCCTCCCTCCTCAGCCCCCTCAAATAGCTGGGACTACAGGCATGAACCACCATGCTTAGCTAATCTCTTTTTTAAAAAAGATTGGCAGTGTATGACCAGGTGCAGTGGCTCACGCCTGTAATCCCAGTACTTTGGGAGGCCAAGGTGGGCGGATCACTTGAGATCAGGACTTCAAGACCAGCCTGGGCAACATGGTGAAACCCTGTCTCTACTAAAAATACAAAAATCAGCCAGGCGTATGTGGTTCCAGCTACTCAAGAGGCTGAGGCAGGAGAATCGCTTGAACCCGGGAGGTGGAGTTTGCAGTGCGCCGACATCACATCACTGCACTCAAGCCTGGGCAACAGAGCAAGACTCTGTCTTTAAAAATAGGGCTGGTGGCGATGGCTCACGCCTGTAATCCCAGCACTTTGGGAGGCTGAGGCGGGCGGATCACGAGGTCAGGAGATCGAGACCATCCTGGCAAACACGGTGAAACCCCATCTCTACTAAAAAATACCAAAAAACTAGCCTGGCGAGGTGGCGGGTGCCTGTAGTCCCAGCTACTCGGGAGGCTGAGGCAGGAGAATGGCATGAACCCGGGAGGCGGAGCTTGCAGTGAGCTGAGATCGCACCACTGCACTCCAACCTGGGCGACAGAGCAAGACTCTGTCTCAAAAAAATAAAAAATAAAAATAAAATAAAATAAAATAGGCAATGTACTTGCGATATTCCCTACAGAGGACATGAACTCATCCTTTTTTATGGCTGCATAGTATTCGATGGTGTATATGTTTTACATTTTCTAAACCCAGTCTGTCATTGATGGACATTTGGGTTGGTTCCAAGTCTTTAAAGTTTATGAAAGAGTAAACTATCACTTTGCTTTCTGTTTCTACGGATGTGTCTGTTCTGAACACTTTACATAAATGGAATTATACGAGATGGGGTCTTCTGTGTCTCATTTCTTTCACTGAACATAATGTTTTAGGGTTCATTTGCATTGTAGCATGCAATTGTAACAGTATTAAAACACCACAGCATGCATCTGAGCTTTATTCCTGTTTATGGCTGAACGATTTTCCATTTTATGAATATGTGTCACCTCTTCGTGGACATGAGGGTTGTGCCCCACCTGTTGGCCTTCGTGAAGGATACTGCAATGAAACGCTTGTAGCATTTGGAACCTATTAGTGGTTTCCAGGGGCTGGGGTGAGGGGAGAATGGGGAGTGACTGCTAATAGATACAGTATTTCCTTTTGGGCTAATAAAAAATTATTACCTTTGTCCGGAGCTAGACGAAGGTGGTGTTAATGCAACATCGTAAATGTCCTTGATGCCACTGAATTGTATACTTTAAAGTGGTTATGTGAAAATCCAGTAATAAAAGGTAAATGCAGTGGGTTTTCTCAAAAATTAAAATAAAAAATGAAAAAGAAAGGAAAGAAAAGGAAAGGAAGAAAAGAAATAAATAGGTAAATTTCAGGTTGTATGTATGTTATCAAAATAAAAAGATCATTTTAGAAAGGATAGTTCACTTCCCCTTAAGTGGGCTCCGGTCCTCAATCAAGCCCTGGCAGGTTTATAATGAGAGATGAAGGAAGAACCAGCTCCTTTGTGAGTGGAGGCTGCATTCTCCAAACATCATTGGTCTCCAGAGTTTCTTGGTCTCTCTTCCAGAAATCACTCCCATTTTCCCCTCCTTCTGGGTCAGTACTTGCCCGTAGCTCAGCAGAATAGTGGCCCCCACAGCACCACCATGTCCCGCCACTCTGAGATCTTAGAGGAGTAAATGACTTTGAAACAAGAACCTCCAAGAAGAGACCAAATGGGCGAGACTGGTGCCCTGGGGTGGTGCTCACGAACCCTCTGTGGCTCCCCAGTGCCTGGGGCAGAGTTTCTCAACCTTGGGACGGTTGACTTTTAGGGCCAGGTCATTCTTTCTGTGGGGAGCTGTTCTGTGTCTCATAACATGTTTAGTAGCATCCCTGGTCTCTGTCAACTGAATGCCAGCAGCTCCTGCTCCGTCATGACAACCAAAAAATGTCTCCAGAAAACACCCATGTCCTGGGGCTCAAAGTCACCCCCAGGTGAGAACCCCTGATCCAGAGAGTGCAGCCGCAACTCCTTCGCACCCTTGTTCTGCTGGGATCCCCATTCCTCCACTTCTTCACCTGGCAAACCCCTGTTTGTTGTTAAGACTCAGCTTAGATGTCACCTCCTCCATGCAGCCCTCCTGGACATTTCTTCCCAAGGCATATTTAGCCATCCATTCCTGGGTGCTTTCAAAATAAGGATTCCCAGTCAATGGTAACAGCAGGCGTTGGTTCAGTTCTCACTCTGTGCCTCCTGCAAGTAACTCTAAAGCTCCTTGCTCATGACTTTGTTATGATGTTTGCCGTGACATGTCACGTTGGAGCTGTGTCTATCCCTGGAACCTGACTGTGAGTCCCTGAAGCAAGGGACTGCTGTGTCTACAGCACCAATGTTGAGTACTCAACAACACCGATGAGAACAGCTGCCCTTTACTGGATGTGTCCTACGGTCCAGACATTGCACTCACATCACTCATGCTGTTCTTATTGAATCTTTACCCCCACATTAGAAGTCATCTGCTCTGATCCCTATTTTACAGACAGAGAAACTGAAACCCACGACACATCACTTGCCTTGGGTTCCTTGAGTCTGAAGTGGGGGCCCAGGGTCTGAGCTTAGGTCTGATTGATCTCAAAGCCTGTCTTTTTCTAACCTCTTGTTATACTCACCAGTTGCTGGTGGCTGTTTCAAAGGCCACTAGGAGAGGCTGCTTCCCCGTGACTGACCGTCTACGTACTCTTGTTCTTAGCAATTAAGATCACAAGAATCCACAGCGAGTGAGTGAGCAAGCCGGCGGGGGGGGGGGGGGGGGGGGGGGAGAGAGAGAGAGAGAGAGAGGAGGAGAAGAAGAAGAAGAAGAAGGAGGAGGAGGAGGAGGAGGAGGAGCGGGAGGGAGAAGGGGGAGGAGGGGTAGGAGAAGGAGCGGAAGGGGGAGGAGGAGCGGGAGGGGGAGGAGCGGGAGGGGGAGGAGGGAGAAGGAAGGAAGGAAGGAAGAAAGAAAGAGACAGAGAGAGGGAGGGAGGAAAAAAGGAAGGAAGGAAGGGAAGTGCAGGAGGAAGGAAAGAGAATGAGGAAGGAGGGAGGG